AGTCGTTTAGTCGTGTTGTTAAGAACAATTCAGATTGCATTCATTAATGAGGCGACTAATATACACACAGTAATTATCAAAGTGATTATATATTCTTTATCAATCTTCTGAGAAAAATACAAAACCTTATGCAAAGCCACAGAGACTTCCGAACTACCCAACCTAAGATGAACTTATATGATTTCAATGGATTTTCCAAGTGCTTAACTCAGTCTTTTGTTTCTATCTTTTTAGGTAAGATCATGAAGATACCAACAAAAGGTAAGTTCGGTGTTTTTCACAATACCGAGAGATGCTAGTGAAGTTGTAGATAGATGTTAATGAAGTTGTAGACAGGGTGCCGGCGTTTTGCACCTGTTTCGCCCTGGCGGTCCAAGTAATCAAGAGGCTACTGTTCGCCCCCAATGGGGCCCTTTTACTGGGGCTTTCAGGTAGCACACTCCCAAGGTAGTTTTCCGGGCTTCTTCAGTGGTCTAATCTCAAAGCCTTGATACATATATTGATATTCACTAATAATAATTAAAACCAAATCTTATCAGAAATAACTTAATGCTCTTCTAAATAATCAATTAAATCAAAAATACATATCCATTATACGTGAAATCAGACTTACTACAAAAAATTATACAAATATACTTACATTTCATAGAGAATACTATTTCTTGGCTTAAGCTTTAGAGAGTGATTTGCTTAGCAAGGTTACCCTGTTTGGGTCTGGATATAAATACACTCTTTCATTACTGATTGCTCAACAGGTGTTTAACGTTAGTGAAAAATGAGGAGGTATAGGAGAGGATGAAGGAAAGGATGAGGTAGATGCTGACAATACTTACATCACATGTGTTTCACATACAGATATCAGTGCCCATAACTATGGTCAAATAAACACAGAGAGATCAAATTCAGAATTAAATCCCACCAGCTGTAATGTTTTGAACAAAAATATTAATCTTATTTCTTGTTGCCTCAAAACTTTTTTGATGTCTTGTTTGCTGTATCTGCTGTATTTTCTGGTTTGCTGTATTTTTTCCTCTTTTATTGGTTTTGGGATGGAGACTATTTTGGAGTGGGTCCAGGTTTGGGGGATGGGCCCCCCTTTCATGATGTCATTGAATAGGCGGGTCATGTAGGGCATCAGGGGTTCTTTGAATTTCCTATACAATTCTGCTGTGAAGCCATCTGGGCCTGGGGCTTTGTGTGGTTTCAAGTTTTTGAGGACCATAACTATTTCCTCTGGGGTGATAGGACTGTCCATGAATTCTTGTTCCTCATCAGTTAAGATAGGCATGGTCAGTCCTGCTAGAAATTTTCTGATTTCCTCTTCAGGTAGGTTATGAGAGGTGTATAGGTTGGAGCAAAATTCTGCAAATTCTGAGGTTATTTCTTTGGGGGAGAATGTTATGTTGCCGTCTTTTTTGGTGATGCAGTGTATTCTTGTTTTGAGTGCTTTCTTCCTACATCTAGTACTGTCATACCTCGGGTTGAAGTAGCTTCAGAATGAATATTTTCGGGTTGTGCTCTGCGGCGACCTGGAAGTAACGGAGCACGTTACTTCCAGGATTCGCCGCTCGCGCAGACGCTCAAAATGATGTCACGCGCATGCACGGAAGCAGCAAATCGCGGCATGAACACGCGCAGACGCAGGTTGCGTTCGCTTCAGGATGCGAACGGGGCTCCGGAACGGATCCTGTTCGCATCCAAAGGTACCACTGTAGTCTGGAGTTTCCCCCTCTGTATTCATAGAAGCATATAATGCTGATCATTGTTTTGTTGATTTCTGGGGAGTCTAGGTCTCTCTTTTTTGTTCTATAAGTTGAAGGAGTTTTTTAGCTCCTGTTTACTTGTAGCGTGATGAGAGGGCAGTGATGTCTTGTTCTATTTTGCTAATTTTTGAGGTGGTTTGTTTTTTAAGGAAAACTTTCTCTTTTATGCAAGCTCCTCTGGTGACCGCTTTCATTGTGTCCAATAGGAGGGGCGTTGTTATATTGTCTACATTATTTTCCTTGAAGGAGTTTTGGAGAGTTTTTGTGATACTCTAATTTGTTTGTTTGTGGTTAGGATGGGACTGAAGGACCATGATGGGGTGGTTTGTGTTCCCTCTCCTATTTTAACAGTGACTTCTACTGGGGCGTGATCTGTGATTTTAATGTTACTTATGTTTGTTGATTCCACTGAGGGGATCAGACCCTGTGTGAGCAGAATGCTGTCCAGTCTGGACACTGTACCATGGCGTCCGGATTGGAATGTATAGCTGGTGTCTCACGGGTTTTGCTCACCCCAAATGTCGCAAAGACCAGTTTTTTAACATTTTTAGTAACTTGTAAGAGTCCCTAGTTGTTGGGGGTTTCCTTCGGAGGAAGGTTGCCCATGGGGTTGTAAGGTGGATGTTTTTCAGGGATATGCCTCTCATATTTAGGTTGAGGTCACCTCCTAGGATTGCTTCCCCTTCAGAGAAGGAGAGGAACTAGTTTAGTGTCTTCTAGAAGAATTCTAGTTGTTTCGTGTTTGGGGCATATATGGAGCCGATTGTTTAATTTTGCCATCTAGTGTCCCTTTAGCGAAAATGAATCTTCCTTTTTTCCCTTTTAGGTCTGGGGTGATGTATTTATGATGCATACCATCCTCCTAGCTCTCCTGTACCTGCTTCTGCTGAACCCGCTTCTCCTGAACCTGCTTCTGAAGCTGCTTCAGCTGAATCTGCTTCGTCTCAACTGCCTTAACTGCTTTGCTTCTGAAGCATTGCACTGGAATTCTCTGGCGTCTCCATGGACACTGGAACCCAGGCATTATGACACAAATGGCTGCAAATCCCAGGCAACCAAACAGGGATCCTCCAATTTGTGGGTCAAAGTAAACCTCCCAGCGGTCTGTTTAACTTTGGCCCACAAGGCCATTTTTCCACCGTCACACTCACCTGGTCTATGGGAGATGATGAACTGGGCAGGAGTTTTGGATCCATCTTCAGTTAGCTGCATAGACTCAGTATCCACTCACTGTGTGCTTTCTCCAACTCCACTGATTTCCTCAGATTTGGGGGCATTTGGGGACAGCACTCCACTGGTTTCTTTTCCTCGGCCTTCATTGGTTAATTAGTTGAAATGTCAATTTGCTCAGAGCCCCCCTGTAGCATTCTTCCACACGCCCCCACCTCTCCCACCTGCCCTCCAAGTCTGGCAAGAGAGAGAGGGGTGTGCAGAAGCGGTTTTTTCAGAACCGAACACAACAGAACCAGTAGATGCTGCCACCACTTCCTTATCTTAGGACAGCCCAGAAGAATAACCTAAGGAAGGGGATTACTCTTCAGCATTACTGGCCTGCCCCACCCTGTAACACTTTTCGTGACACAGGCAGAAATTCAACCGGTTTGGTAGGTGACTAAGTGGTCAGGCGTTAGACTTACCCAGCAGAAGGCACAAAAGACAAAACCAGGAAAAAATCCTTTCCCCAAAATTTATTTAAAAAACAATATTATTCAAACTTAAAAGTTGGCACATCTCTTACAAGTTTCATACAGCAAAATAAAAACATTGTTTAACATCACTAACTAAAACATACTCACAACGAGAACAAAGGAGACTTAGAATAGTTCGTAAGGTTATTGGCTGATTCCGCATTCTTTGTGATGATGGCGGCTGCTGGCAAGATGGTTAGCCTGGCATGATGGGCAGCTGCAAGTTGCAAACTCAGTTCCCTAAGATTTTATCCCTTGGGACCCCACGGGTATTCGAACTCAAGGACCAATCAGTTCTTCTGATTAATTAAGAATCGCCAATGATTACACAGAAGGGCGATAACTCAGCTTGTTAGAGGAGTTTGATGGCTCTATTCACATAGAAACAACATCTTAGATAACCAGGTGTTAAGGCACACAAATCAACTAAAAAGCCTCCTTCCTGCAGATGGAGGAGATAACTTATTCACACTTTCAGAGCCAAGAAGTCTACGGTTAAAGAAACAGATACACATTTCCCATAATTCTCTAGTCTTTGGTTCTCCCACAGTGCCTTGCCTTAGCTTGACCAAAGTTTGTCTTGCTCAGATTTCTTAACATCACTCCATCCCCACTCCACCCCCTTTTAAATCCTTTCCCCCCTGGGTGCGAAAGGAGAGAAAGGGGGGGCTATCTCAGCAAGAAGTCCCATTCCTTCCAAAGGGAAGCAAAACAACGACCCCAGCTTCAAGGCTTTCTGTGCCTACTGGTGGAACTAAAGCCTTTTGCCTTCCATCCCTGGCAATCCCCCAGAATGGCTCCTTTATGCCCTCACTGCTAGCAGGGCAGCCAGAGCAAGAGACCCTCTACCTTCAAGAGAGGGTCTCCAGAGCAAGTCTCCCTCTTTGCAGGTGAACATACCTCTCCTGATAGGCTGGAGGAACCTGTTATGGAAAAATCTAGGTGCGAGGCTGCTCAGTCACCAGCTTGTCGGGCAGAGCCCGCAGGTCCCTGCGGAATAAAGGAAGGAGTCCAGCCACCAACCGGAGCAAATAGCTGTAGACCAAAGTTTATTGTGCAACAGGTTCAAAGAGGAATTTTGAACCCCGAGGATGTGGTGACAATGACTTTTAAAACTTTCCCACCATATCCCAGAATACAGTTTGTACAGCATCATTGATACATCATTGCTACATCACTGACATGTCACAAAAGGGGATGGGGGGTTAGACAGGGGTTACACTGGTTTAACCTTGGCAAACATGTCGAGACAAGTCCTTGGAACAAGATTAGCATAAGCAGACATGTCAGGGCAAGACCCAGGTATAAGATTAGCATAGGCAAACACCTCTGAAGTCCCACCACCCAAAGTACCATATTTTTCGCGCCATAAGGCGCACCGGACCATAGGGCGCACCTAGTTCTTTGGGGGGGAAATAAGGGGGGGATTTATTTCCTCCCCCCCAGCCCCAAAGAGCAAAGAAGCCAAGACAGCGAGCAGGATCCATCCCACTGGCTGTGTTGGCTTCCTCTTTAGCCGTGTGCAACCTCTCCAGCCAGGAGAGGCTGCACGCGGCTTTGGCAGAAGCCAAGACAGCGAGCGGGATGGATCCCACTCACTGTCTTGGCTTCGTTTTTAGCCGCAGGGCTGGGGCGGGGGAAGCCCGAGCTTCCCCCGACCCCAGAACAGGTCCGGGAGCGGCGGCAAGGTTGTGTGCAGCCTTGCAGCCGCTTCCAGAGCTTGCGGATAGCTGCCTGAAGCCCAGGGAGCGCAGCGGGAGTTGGCGCTGCACTCCCTGGGCTTCAGGCTGCAGGCTGCTATCTGCAAGCCTTCGGAGCACAGGGGGAACTCCTGCTGCCCTCCGAAGGCGGGCGGATAGCTGCCTGAAGCCTGGAGAACGAGAGAGGTCGGTGTGCACCGACCCCTCTCGCTCTCCAGGCTTCAGCGAAAGCAACGCAAAGCCTCCGGAGCGTGGAGGGAGCGCTCCCTCTGTGCTTCGGAGGCTTCCAGTTGCTATCGCTGAAGCCAAGGAGCCTGCATTCGCTCCATAGGATGCACACACATTTCCACTTCATTTTTGGAGGGGGAAAAGTGCGTCCTATAGAGCGAAAAATACGGTACAATAGAACTTCCTTTGCATGTCTGGACCCCTTGGGAAGTCTGGTGATGGGATTAGGCTTTCCTTGGCCAACAACCAGCTCAGCAATTGCCACCTCTGGGCACTTCCTGGGGTAGGAGGTGTGTATACATGCCCTCACGCTTGTGGAGGTGGCAGGGGAAAGAGTCATTTTTCCAAGGGCAAAATAGTGTTGAAATGGAGGAAACTGGCAAAGGAGTTGATTTTTTATGATTGTTAAAGCTAGGTAACTTCCCTGAGCTGTCAAGTCAAAAGGATACATTTATGTATAATATTGGTAACATTTAACAACTTTAAAGGTGTGCACCCCCTGTAATTTCCATTACAAACCAGATGCTACCTATTTTAAGGCCCGCCCTATTCTTCCGACTGTAAATTGTTCTAACTTATTTCAAGGTTGCATTTTTATATTGTTGCAACCTCCCCTCGGACCGCGTGGTGAAGGAAATAAATTTCATTTAAAGATAATTATGAAAAAAGTTGGGCTGAAGTGAAAAAAGATTTAGAAATTTGGTCAAATTTGAAGCTTTCACTGCTGGGCCGTATTGCTGCGGTTAAAATGAATGTATTGCCTAGAATGTTGTTTTTGTTTCAAACATTGCAAATTGTGGACAAAATGGACTGTTTCAAGAGGTGGCAGAGAGATATTTCTAGATTTGTCTGGCAGGGCAAGAAGCCCAGAATAAAATTTAAAATACTAACAGATGCAAAGGAAAGAGGTGGATTTGCCCTGCCAGACCTCAAACTTTATTATGAATCAGCAGCTTTTTGCTGGTCGAAAGAATGGCTGCTTCTTGAAAACATTGACATTTTGGATTTGGAAGGTTTTAACAATGTATTTGGATGGCATGCATATCTGTGGTACGATAAGGTCAAAGCACATAAAGCATTTAAAAACCATATTGTCAGGAAAGCATTGTTTAATGTTTGGATAAGATATAAGGATTTATTGGAAAATAAAACCCCAAGGTGGCTGTCACCGATGGAAGCGAAAGCCTTGAAAAAGCTCAATATGGAGGTCAAATGGCTGAAATACTGGGAAATTTTGGAACAAGATGGAGATAGATTGAAACTGCAGAGTTTTGAAAAACTAAAAAACAAAGTGCGAGACTGGCTTCATTATTATCAGATAATGGAGGCATACAATTTGGACAAGAAAATCGGCTTCCAGGTGGAAAAATCAAAATTAGAAACAGAATTGTTAGAACCCAAAACTAAAATTTTGTCAAAGATGTATAACTTGCTGTTGAAATGGAATACTCAGGATGAAACGGTGAAATCTGCTATGATTAAATGGGCACAAGATGTTGGACATAATATTATGTTTGCTGACTGGGAACAGTTGTGGACCACAGGTATGAAATTTACGGCATGTAATGCCTTAAGAGAAAATATTATGAAAATGATATACAGGTGGTACATAACCCCAGTCAAGCTTGCAAAAATCTATCATGTGCCAGATAATAAATGTTGGAAATGTAAAGAAACTGAAGGTACATTTTTTCACCTTTGGTGGACGTGCCCAAAGATTAAGGCTTTCTGGGAGATGATATATAATGAACTAAAAAGGGTATTTAAATATACCTTCTTGAAGAAACCAGAGGCCTTTCTCCTGGGCATAGTCGGCCAATCGGTGTTAAAAAAGGACAGAACTTTCTTTATGTATGCTACTACAGCAGCAAGAATACTTATTGCAAAGCATTGGAAGACACAAGATTTACCCACACTGGAGGAATGGCAGATGAAATTAATGGACTATATGGAATTGGCAGAAATGACTGGCAGAATCCGTGACCAGGGAGAAGAGTCGGTGGAAGAAGATTGGAAGAAATTTAAAGACTATTTACAGAAATATTGTAAAATTAATGAATGTTAGAATGATGTTGGATTGAAGTTAAGTGGTCTCTAGCTGTATAGGTACAAAAGAATATGGAAAAATTGGTTTTTAATATGTAAAAATCTAACGTTACAATATATCAAGACTAAGGATCAGGATTAAAAAGGAGGGAAAGGAATTGTTGGATTAACAAATTGAATTGGAATACAAAAGAGGGAGGTATGAGGAGGTCCGGGAAACAAGTAAACGTAAAAGAAGTGAGGAAAAGATGGAATTGTCTTTAACTGTTTTTTCTTTTTTTTCTACTTTGTATTTTTCCTTTTTATTGTTATTTTTTTTTTATTAATGTGATTTTTTTCCCCTTTGAAACTTTAATAAATATTATTTAAAAAAAAAAAAAAAAAGAAGGAAATAAATTTCACAAAGCTTGCCAAAATATACAAGTCAAAATCCAATCTTTGTTGGAAATGTAAGGAGGCGGAGGGTACTGTGATGCACTCATGGTGGAGCTGCGGAAGAGTTAAAAAATTGGGGGGTTGCATTCATGAGGAATTTAAAAGGATGCTCAAAATCTCTATAGGGAAAAAACCCAGAGGCTTATTTATTGAGTATACTGTTCAAGGATGTACCACAAGACAGGAAAACACTATTTTTATACGCTGCTGCAGCAGCAAGGCTCCTACTAGTAGCAAAGAACTGGAAAGGAAATCACATCCACACAAAAGAAGATTGGCTAAACAAATTAACAGAATTCATCGAAATGGCAAAACTAACCACATCACTAAGATATCAAACAAACCAGAATTTAAGGCAACAATGGAAATGGTTTGAACACTATACAAGCAAACACTGCTCCAAAAACAACACGTTGATCTGTTTAGATTAAGTTTGTAAAGTTTTGATTTAGAAAAAACAATAGTTGTCAGATGGTAATGGTGGTTGCTTGTGAGTAACCAGTCAGGACTCGGACCTGTCTTTTACAGGTTTTATTTTGGTGCAAAACTATTTACAGTGCAGAGCCACAAGTTCATGTCTGCCTCAATCGCTAGCAGAATCCGGGAGTGGTTGTTTCCGGGTCCTCCCCCAACATAATAGCTTAGTCAGCCCCAGCCTTTTCCTCCTTTCTTTGCGTTTTACACCTCTGCGCAGGGTGGGCGACGGAAGAGGCGTGCTTCCCTCCTGGCTGGCTTGATCAGGAGTGGTGCTGAGGTTCCCAGCAGCACCCTCTGGTCCCTTCCCCTCTTCCCCTCTTGAGGTGTGGCTTTCCGCACCGCAGGAAGAAGAACTGCTTTGCAAGATTTTCGGTGGTTTCCTCTAACCCAACTGCCCCTCAGCTTCCCTTCCCTGTTCCGATGGCAGTCCCCTGAAAATAGTAAAACAAGAGGTTTAAGTATGAGAGATAAAAATTGCAATGTGAATAACAAAATTATAGGCTAAGTGAGGACAAGCACTGGTGGAAGGAAGTCACATGGGTGTAGGTAATTTTAATTTTTTGGTATGTTTAAGTAGGTTGTTGTTCAATGTTTCTGTTTCTATAATACAATCCCATTCTTTTCAGTTCAGGCAACTCCCCATTTACATGGGGGTTACGTTCTTAGGCACCACACATTTAAGTGAAATTGCATAAATTGGGAACACCATTGGAAAAGCCTGCAAACACCCTCCAAACCTCTGGAAACCATCAAAAAAAATTTAGAAAACAAACAAAAAAGCTACCAAACCCTTCCACAGTTGCTCCCTCCAAGCCTCCTTGCTCAAACTCCAAGTCTCCACAGGCCTCAAAGGTTGGTGCTAAGGCTCCTGGGATTGCCAGATACTATTTTCACTTTTTTATGATCTTTTAGGGCTGTATTGCCCCTTTTTGTGCTATTTCAGCATTCACGGCAATGCGCGCAATCACACATGGCTCAAATGCACGTAAATGTGGAGTTGCCTATCACTTTCCCAAGAACAATAAATTCACTTAAAAAGAAGAAGAACTGGATTTGTTGTGCCAGGGGTCCCTAGTTCTTGGGGGTTTCCTTCAGAGGAAGGTTTGACTTTCTTCAGATTGTTTTATTGATGTTTCAATATTCTGTAAACCGCTGTGAGATTTTTCTTAAAAATATAAAATGGTATAGAAATGAAATAAATTATTATTATTATTATTATTATTATTATTATTATTATTATTATCACTCATACCTAAATGTTGATTTCAGTGGGTCTGAGTAGTTAGACAGCGCTGCAAGAGGACACTGCACAACACCCCGAAACCCATTTCCAACACTTGAAAAATTGCCCACCCTCTGCCAAACGAATGACAAAGATCACCAGCAAGACATACACTGTCCTGGCTTTGTTCTCTGCGAAGACCCGGAGCACGAAGTCCCCTTCCTTGTTGGGTTCAAAGGTGGAAGGCACCATGATATACTCCCCCGGTGGCAGCTTGAAGCGGGTGCTGACCTCACGCAGGTTGATGAACTGCTCGGATTGCGCCCGTGAGGAGTTTGACAGGAAGAAGCTGTGTTTCAGGTGTACGGAGGTCTGCCTCCTGAACTGCCAGAGAGGAGAAGACATGAGTTGAGCAAGCGCTTCACCTGTCAAACCCTCCTCTTGGAACAAGGGCCACAGCTCATTGGAACAGCTCCTGCCTTGCAGGCACAAAGGTCCCAGGTTCAAATCACGGCAGCTCTGGCAGACAGCAGCTTTCAACGTCCCTGTTCAAATTGGCCCTTTCTTTACCGTATTTTTCGCTCCATTGGACGCAGTTTTTCCCCTCCAAAAATTGAGGGGAAATGTGTGTGCGTCCTATGGAGCGAATGCAGGCTTGTGCCATAGAGAGGCTGGTGCCGGCATGGAGACACTGCACAGGGCTATGACTTCTTTAGCCCTGCGCAGCCTCTCCTGGCAGGGAGGGATTGCGCGGGGCTAAAGAGGAAGCCAAAGCAGCCAGCGGGATCCATCCCGCTTGCTGCCTTGGCTTGTTCCATAGCCGCGCACAACCCCTCTGGCAGGGAGAGGTTGTGCGCAGCCTGTACACTGCTCTTTGGGGCTGGGGGGGGGGAAAGATTTTTTTTATTGATTTCCCCGTCTAAAAACTATGTGCGCCCTATGGTCCGGTGCGCCCTATGGTGCGAAAAATACGGTATATCAAGGACTGGAACCTTCCTTTCTTTTTGGAGGAAGGACTGTGGCTCAGCAGCCAGAGCACCTGCTTCTCACATCAAAGGTTCTAATTTCAACCCTCAGCAGCTCCTGATAAGCTTGTCTGAAAACCTGGAGAGCTGCTGCCAGTCAGTGTAGACAATGCTTAGCTAGATGGATCAACGCTCTAACATTGTAGAAGTCCTCTATACCCAATTAAATTATCCCTTTATTCAGAAATAATGAGGACTGGAATCTTCCTTCCAAGCACTTGCCTTGACTGCAAAAGGTTCCTGCTTCAGTCCCTGCCAGTTCCAGATAGGGTGGGAAAGACTCCTGGCCTGGAACCCTGGACAGTCGCTGCTGGTCAGCGTAGTCAACATTGAGCTTGGGATAAAGCAATTTGCCACACCCCTACTTATTTTGTTCTTTATGATGAGGACTAGAATCTTAGGTTTTTTTCCTTTTTAGCAGAAGGTCCGCAGCTCAGCAGTGGAGAGCATGCTTTGCATGCAGAAGGCCTGGGTTCAATCCTGGCAACTGCAGACAGCATTGGGAAAGACTGAAGCCCTGGAGAGCCACTGGCAGCAGGGGCGAAGGAAGGCTAACCGGCACCAGGGGTGGGGGGGCGGGGCAAACCGCCTGGCAGTGCATGCGCAGCGCCGCAACATACGGCGCATGCGGCGCAGGGCGGTTTGCCAACGGCACTGCTCAAGTGCCATACGGACGGCTGTGGGATCCCTCTGCCGCCACTGCAGCCGCAAACGGAGGATCCTCCGCACGTGGCTGTGGTGGCACAATGGCCGGGGGCGGGAGGGTGAGCCCTCCGCAGGGTGCCTTCTTGTCACCCCCCTCAGAGATGGCACCCGGGGTGACCCGCCCCCCCGCCTCCCTCCTCCGCCACTGACTGGCAGACAATACAGACTCTCCTGGCCTGGCTCCTGGTCCTATCTTCTTACAGGACAGTAGACGCTCTTGCAGGGGCTTCCCATAGTTACAGGAGTTGCTCTTTTGCATACATACCTCAGGAGGCACCTGCAGGAGACAAAAGGAAGAGAGGAAGCGAATTCCGAAAGAAGGCAGAGGAAGGGCTCCAGATCCTGAGGGGCAGCTCTGCCAAGCCCTTGCCCGGTACCTCGTAGAGGGCCAAGCCGATGGTCTCCATGTTCTTGCCCAACCGCCTCTTCTGCCGCTGGTGCTTCTGCATCAGAGACAGGAGGAAACTGCCGCCTGGCTCCCTCCTGTCCTCGTCGTGGTCCATCTCTTCCAAGCAGATTTTGAACTGGGGGTTAATCCAGAATGTTGCTGAAGGAGAAAGGAAGGAAGGAAGGAAGGAAGGAAGGAAGGAAGGAAGGAAGGAAGGAGACTGTGGGGTACAAGGGCTTTGGGGAGATGGCAGTCAAATTCAACTAATGCATATTCTCACGAGTTAATAAGTTTAGGGGTAAATGGACACAGAGCTGTATTGCTAGATGGGCAGACTCAGAGCATGCAAATAGTAGAGAGCGCTCTGTGTGAGGTCATTTCCTGTTTCCAGTAGCAGGAAGAAAC